TGTTTTGTCTATTTATTTATCAAATTTACTAAGTTGAATAGGCATATACAAAAGTTTATTCACATACATAAACATCTAAAAGGCACAATTCTTGTACATCTATTCCCTCTATGGCCTGCTGGTTAGCAGGTTTATGCGTCACCTTGTGGAGATTCCTTGAAAATTTTAGGTGAGAGAGTGGCTGTATTGAATGCTGGCAAAGGTCTAATAATGGTAAGGAATCATCACTTCGGTTATGTCACACCCCACTGCACCAAAAGAGGGTTAAATATATTATCTCTTTGTTTGTTTGTTTGTTTGTGTGTGTGTGTGTGTGTGTGTGTGTGTGTGTGTGTGTGTGTGTGTGTGTGTGTGTGTGTTTTTATCACATGAGCATGTTTGTTTCTGTGGGTATGTGGACCAAAATATATATGTGAATCTGTGTGCAAATAACAACAAAATATATGGAACTTTGTCTAATACGAAGCATTACAATATCATTCATAATAGTATCAATAATAACAACAATCAAACAATCAATAATAACATTTATAGCAATAATAAATATAAATCATTCTTTTATATAATAAATACCCATAATAAAGATTGAAATAGTACTTTGATAATTAATCTCAACTCTATTATGAAACTATTATTAGTCAGACAGGAAGAAGGAAAATAATATGAATAAAGGCATACCAATAACATATCAATAATATTATTGGTAATAATAACAATAAGAAGATTAAGAATATGAAGAAGAAAAATTAGGTGTTTAACCCTTTGACTGCAGTCTAGGATTCCATAGCATCTTAATAATAATAATAATAATAATAATAACAATAATAATAATAATAATAATAAATAAATATATAAAAAAAACAGTGATAATGAGACCATTACTGCTACTTTTCTTGGAGAAAAAAAAGGTAAAGATTCTATTCTTGACCGGGAAAATGCTCAAAAAGGTGACTTCTTATGAAAACTGTGGCTTTACTTAATGAAAAAATTGAAATATATACCTTTTAATACCTACTTTTGCATCCAGAGCAACTAAGGGTCTTCACAGTTTACTAAAAACAATTTCCTAGAGCATGTGAATGACTGAAAACCATCTTCTATTAAAAAAAAAAGAACTCATTATTCTATTGTGAAAGACATGTTGTAACTATATATCAGTCATAACATTAGTAAACATCTTTGTTCATCTTAGGAGGTCCCCCTCTGGACACAGCAGCTCCTGGCCTTCCTGTTTTTCAAAGCTGTGTACAGTGGTCACCCAATGTGTCATGAATAATTGTTTACACTTGTGACACAGTCAATTGATGCAGTCAAAGGGTTAAAGAACAAGAAGGACAATATAACAACAGCAATAACAATAATTATATAGTAATATCATCACATTCTATTCCCATGCACAGGAAGAAAATAATAGTTGAAAAAAATAATAATAAAATAAAAAATAAATAAAAAAATGAATAAAAAATAAAAAAAAAGTTTATCATAATACTCCTCATTGTCTCTGCAAAGCATCAGTGGACCAATAACCTCTCTATATGCTCCTCTCAAACAATCACAGGTATTGACCAATGACAAAATAAATATTCATTCTTGAACCAGAGAGAGGAGTGTTGTTGTGTATCTTTGCCAAAAGACACATCTAGAAAATAAAATAAAAAATAGGGTGAAAATAAAAGTCATGCTTCACAAATCTAGTCTACTACCTGCATAATTGCATCTACACCATGCAACATTAAGAATCCCCAATGCAACCCTTTAACACGTGATGACTAGATAATTGTGACCGTAGTCTGGAACTGCCCCACTGTGGGGGAGCCATGAATCAGATGTCCCACTGAATGATTACAGGACAATAGTCGTCATCGCTTGTCTGTTCGTTCTTTCCTCAAATTAAACCCCACATTCTTTACTAAGAACCTAAGACAATCAAGAAATGTAGTACATAAAGAGCTATACTGTCCTTTTGATCTAACTAAAATTTACTCTGAATCGAACTATCTTTTCCCATAAAATTTCAGGGTATTCTATAGCACATTTCCCATGAGCTATGTATCTTTTAAATATACTTTACCATCTCGCATTTTCCCAGATGTAATTCCCCATCTTGAAAACACCTAAAACACATACAAATCAATGGAACACCTACTTCAACATACTACATACATACACACACACACACACACACACACACACACACACACACACACACACACACACACACACACACACACACACACACTCTCTCTCTCTCTCTCTCTCTCTCTCTCTCTCTCTCTCTCTCTCTCTCTCTCTCTCTCTCTCTCTCTACTTTTTTTTATTAGCTAATTATTTGGCTCCCTAAATACTTATGTATGTCTCATATACCTACATTAATACGTACATGAACCTCGGCTGATTTCATGATAGTACTTGGCCTTTGATCTATAAGGTACAATCAAAGTTGGCAAAAGAAGATATCCTTCAAGCATAACCTGATCATTTCTCCTCTTTCTGTAAAAACAATCCTAACTTAGCTAATTATGTGATGAACTACAATAAATTGCATAAGATTCTCTCTCTCTCTCTCTCTCTCTCTCTCTCTCTCTCTCTCTCTCTCTCTCTCTCTCTCTCTCTCTCTCTCTCTCTCTCTCTCTCTCTTACATTCTCTCTCTCTCTCTCTTACACTTTCTCTCTCTCTTACACTCTCTCTCTCTCTCTTACACACTCTCTCTCTCTCTTACACACTCTCTCTCTCTCTTACACACTCTCTCTCTCTCTTACACACTCTCTCTCTCTCTTACTCTCTCTCTCTCTCTTACACTCTCTCTCTCTCTCTTACACTCTCTCTCTCTCTCTCTTACACTCTCTTTCTCTCTCTTACACTCTCTTTCTCTCTCTTACACTCTCTTTCTCTCTCTTACACTCTCTTTCTCTCTCTTACACTCTCTTTCTCTCTCTTACACTCTCTTTCTCTCTCTTACACTCTCTTTCTCTCTCTTACACTTTCTTTCTCTGTCTTACACTCTCTTTCTCTCTCTTACACTCTCTTTCTCTCTATTACACTCTCCTTCTCTCTATTATACTCTCTTTCTCTCTATTACATTCTCTTTCTCTCTCTTACACTCTCTTTCTCTCTCTTACACTCTCTTTCTCTTTCTTTCTCTTACATTCTCTCTCAATCTCTCACTCTCTTACACTCTCTCTCACTATATATATATGTATTCACTCCTTCTCTCTCTCTAATCACTCTGTCTCTGTCTTTCTCTCTCTCTCTCTTTTTCTCTCTCCCCCCCTCATTCTATTCTCTCCCACCTCTCTCTATTCTCTTTCCACCTCTCTCTCCCTAATCTCTCTCTCTTTCTCTCTCTCTCTCTCTCTCTCTCTCTCTCTCTCTCTCTCTCTCTCTCTCTCTCTCTCTCTCTCTCTCTCTCTCTCTCTCTCTCTCTCTCTCTCTTATCTCTCCTCCCTCTCTCTTTCTATTCTCTCTACCCCCCCTCTCTCTCTCTCTCTACTCTCTGTCTATTATGTCTCCAATGCTCTCTTTATTCTCTCTCCTCCTCTCTCTATTTTCTCTCCTCTCTCTCTCTATTCTCTCTCATCCCTCTCTCTTTCTATTCTCTCTCCCCTCTCTCTTTCTATTCTCTCTCCCCCTTTCTCTTTCTACTCTCTCTCCCCCTCTCTCTCTATTCTCTCTCCTCTCTCTCTCTCTAATCTCTCTCCTCCTCTCTCTTTCTCTAATCTCTCTCCTCCTCTCTCTCTCTCTAATCTCTCCTCTCTCTCTCTTTTCTCTCTCTCCCCTCTCTTTCTATTCTCTCTCCCCCGCTCTCTCTATTCTCTCTCCTCTTCTCTCTCTATTTTATCTCCTCTCTCTCTCTATTTTCTCTCCTCTCTCTCTCTCTCTTTAATCTCACTCCTTCGCTCTCTTTCTCTCTAATCTTTCTCCTCTCTCTCTCTCTCTCTCTATTCTCTCTCCCCCCTCTCTCTTTCAATTCTCTCCCCCCCTCTCTCTATTCTCTCTTCTCCTCTCTCTCTATTCTCTCTTCTCCTCTCTCTCTCTCTAATCTCTCTCTCTCTCTAATCTCTCTCTCTCTCTTTTCTCTCTCTCCCCTCTCTCTTTCTGTACTCTCTCCCCCTGCTGTGTGGTTCAGCGGTAGCGATCTTGTCTAGCAATCTTGCTGACCAGCGTTCGAATCCCTCACCGCCAGTGGATGGGAACCCCGGCCACTTGTTGCACACAGGGGATAACTTAAAAAGCAAAATGAAACGGACAGAGAGGGGGGAGAGAGAGTAGAGAGAGAGAGAGAGAGAGAGGGGGTAGAGAGAATAGAAAGAGAGAGGGAATATCCATTTTAACAAGTGGAATCAAACTACACCTTTAAAATTCTATTCACTCTCCTCCTCTCTATTCTCTCTCTCTCTCCCTCTCACTTTCACTTTTCTCTCCCTCTCTCTTTCTTTTCTCCTTCCCTCTCTCTCTCTTTTCTCTCCGCCTCTCTCTTTTTCTCTGTCCCTCTCTCTCTCTTCTTTCTCTTCTCCTATCCTCTCTTTTTTTTTCTCTTCCTCTCTCTCGCTCCCTCTCTCTTATCTCTCTCCTACTTTCTCTCCTCTTTTCTTTCTCCTACTTTCTCTTCTCTCTCCCACTTTCCCTCTCTCTCTTTTTCTCTCCATCTCTTTTCTCTCTCCTACTCACTCTTCTCTCCTTCTCTCCTTTCTCTGTTTATATCTGGTGGTAGAAGTAAGATATTTAGATTATTCTTCTACTTCTCCTTCCCACAGACCATGCTCCACCATGTCGACCCTACACAATCGCATTCTCTACTTTCTCTTCCTCTTCTCTCTTTCTGTTTCTCTTTTCTCTCTCTCTTTCTCTCCCTCTTCTCTCTCTTTCTGTTTCTCTTTTATCTATCTCTCTCCCTCTTCTCTCTCTTTCTGTTTCTCTTTTATCTATCTCTCTCCCTCTTCTCTCTCTTTCTGTTTCTCTTTTCTCTCTCTAGCATCCTCTCTCTTTCTTTCTCTTTCTCTTTCTCTCTCACTCACTCACTCACTCTCTCTCTCTCTCTCTCTCTCTCAAACTCAAAATCCCTTACTCAAACTCACTCACTCACTCTCTCAAACTCAAACTCAAAATCTCTCACTCAAACTCACTCACTCACTCACTCTCTCAAACTCAAACTCAAAATCTCTCACTCAAACTCACTCACTCACATTAGGCAAGATCAGGCATTCAAAATCATAAGTAACATGAGATGTATCTTTCTATGAACATGAGATGTATCATCATGAATTTTATCCACTGGTCTTTTATATACCAGAAGAACATGAGCAACAAAAGATTTACCCCTTGCTGATGGTATGAGCCAGTAAAAATTAATCAATTAATCAAGTTATGAATGGGATGAAATTTGGTTGCTGTATTAATAGAATGAGTGTTTTCTCTTACTGACAGCAGCAGCATTTCATGAACTTTTATCTTGGTCTATATACCATTTCTGGTGAAAAAATTTAACAGCTATTTTGCAAGCTATGCTGACCAAAAAGCAGCATATTTTTTTTTTTTTTCTTTAAAAAGAATATGACAGCACAAGCTTTTGTTTATGGGCTAGTCTGGAGCTGCATGCAAAACAACAAAAGAAGCTACAGTTAAGAACTACTTTTCTTAAATCTTACGTTTCCCCAAAAAGTCATATGATGTGGAAAGCATTGCATTTCTTCATCAAGAAAACAACTTTAAACTTATGCCATTATCATCTCAAGGAGTGGCATGCCCAACCTATGTGCTGTCGTCATGAATGCTTTTTTTTTTTTTTTTTTTTTTTTTTGGAAAATGGAACTTGCTGAACTAGATATTCTCAAGTTACTAATGTTATCCACATCCAGCAACACTAAATACACATAAACAAATATGTATCAAGACACGCGACAAGAAAAAAAAAAATAAAGGAATTCCGGTGTCATATTTACTTTGCGGTTTTTAATTTTCCCCTTGAAAGACACGTCACTTGTAATTGGAAATCTCTTCCTTACCGGATTTTCTTGGTCTTCTTCTTGGTCTGTTGGGACACCATTTTCTAATTTTGTTTGATCTATGCCACCTGATTCATTTTTTCTGCAAAATACAACAAAAGCATATCAGTGACATTTTCTAATTTTGTTTGATCTATGCCAATTGATTCCTTTTTTTGTGAAAAAATACAACAAAAACATATCAGTGACATATACAATAGCAGATACAGTAAAATAACAATAAAAATCGACAAAGGAAAATATAATGACACCGATTAACCCAATGGCGCCGGGTGTACAAAAAACTACGCTCTAGCAAATAAAGGTGGCGCGCCAACTTTGAGCGCGTGAGTAGGGGACATCAGCCCAAATCACTGGCTCCATGGCGTACAGCTGCACGCCAGCTTTCGAGCGGTTTGTTTTCACTCCAATCGGCATCACCCGGCGTTAAGGGGTTAAGAACGAAGAAAACGGAAAAGTGAAGAAACCCAAAAGGAGGATAGAGAGGAAGTGTGTAATAGGAAGGTTGGAGGAGGGAGGCAAGGAGGGGAATGGGGAGAGGAGGAGGAGGAGGAGGAGGAGGAGGAGGAGGAGGAGGAAAAAAAGAAGAGGGAGGAGGAGGAGGAAGAGGAGGAGGAGGAAGAAGAGGAGGAGAAGAAAAAGAAGAAGAGGGAGAAGGCTGAGGAAGAGGAGGAAGAGGATGAGGAGGATGAAGAGGAGGAGGAGGAGGATGAAGAGGAGGAGGAGGAGGAGGAGGAGGAGGAGGAGGAGGAGGAGGAGGAGGAAGAGAAGAAGGCAAATAATTCAGAAAGTTTTCTGGCAACAAAGGATGAGGAAGAGGAGAAGAAAAAGAAGAAGAGGGAGAAGGCTGAGGAGAAGGATGAGGAAGAGGAGGAAGAGGAGGAGAAGAAAAAGAAGAGGGAGAAGGATGAGGAAGAGGAGGAAGAGGAGGAAGAGAAGGAAGAGAAGGAAGAGAAGGAGAAAGCAAATAATTCAGAAAGTTTTCTAGTAACAAAGCAGCAATCAACTTACAATACAGATGCTGGACTCTGTGTTCTTAGACCTGCGTTTGAGCTGGGAGTGGAGGCTGAGGATTCAGCAGCAGGTACATAGACAGCCTCTGGAGATAGCTGTCAATAAATTACAGTATTTTAGACCAGTTAATGTGACTATATAAATGAGAGCAAATCAAGCTATAACATCAAATATTTCACTCACTGTTTCGAAAACAAGGAACTCGTATCATGAACCTTTTAAATTATGAACTCACGTGGCCCAATTCTTTTCCAATCTATAGCGATGAACACTCTACTAGTATAACAGCGTACAGATAGTCCCCTACTTAAGAACATTCTACTTATGAACATTCCATACATACAAACAAAATTTTTAAAGTACTAAAGTCAAAAAAATTGTTTGAAAGATGCTAGCAAACTTCAAATTTCCCGGGCACGAATATAGTTCAAGAGTCTGGTACTGTATAACGTATGTCGTACTCATTGGGATTTATTTACAGGTATTCTTAATGTAAACAAAACTTTAAAACAATGGGAAAAAAGGTAATGGAGACCCAACATTCGACATACAAACAAGTCAACTTACAAACAGCCTCTCGGTCCCCATTATGTTCTTAAGTTGGGGACTTACTGTATATATGAATCAAACAAACGGTTATTCACATAACACATTCACCCAATTTCTGAATTTACGAAATACGGAACAGACAATACCCACGATCAACACTGTACTCTACGTTACTCAAAACAACACAAGCTTACTCTAAAAATCTCCCCTTTGCATTTCATGTCACTGGCCAAGGGAAAAGGGAAGTGCATTGACCTGCAACAAATTCTACTTTCCAAACAATAAAAGAAACGTGTATAGGGCATGTTCTATATATAGTTTTGTTTACATTAAGAATCCCAATAAGTACGATATACCTTATACAGTACCAGACCCTTGAACTATATTCATGCCCGGGAAATTTTAAGTTTGCTTGCATCTTTCAAACAATTTTTTGGACTTTAGTACTTAAAAAATTTTGTTTGTATGTATGAATGTTCATAAGTAGAATGTTCTTAAGTAGGGGACTATCTGTATATATATATAAATATATATATATATATATATATATATATATATATATATATATATATATATATATATATATATATATATATAAATATATATATATATATATATATAAATATATATATATATATATATATATATATATAAATATATAAATATATAAATATATAAATATATATATATATATATATATATATATATATATATATATATATATATATATATATATATATATATATATATATATATAAATATATATATATATATATATATATATATATATATATATATATATATATATATATATATATATATATATATATATATATATTGTACAAAAAAATTATGCTGTCCACTGTAGCTTAATCCAATGAAGCCGATGGCATTTAGGGCATGCAATGCCTACTGTGAGATTAGTTTACCAATTATCTTTATACATAAATGGCTCTACCAGTCACACTGATGGCCTCATACATACCTAATCACAAAGGAATCTACTAACACATGGCTGACCTGATTAATATAAAAATGAGGATTTATAATGGAATTCTGTCACTATTCTTAATGAGCAGGCATAACATTCTATCTTAAGCAAGACCAAACACACTGGTCAATGAGACCTTACACGTTCCCACTCACACTTACCTCTGTTAGGATAGTACATTCACAAGAGGGCTGATACTTCTCTTGTTCATAATGTGGTCTCTTTGATATCTTCTCTCTATCTTGCTTATGCTTTCTATCAGCTCCTTTCAACTGTTGAGAAAAGTAAGGTTTTAGATTCTACAAACAATCCATTGGACTGAATATATAAATACCTAACACTAATTTTGCTCACTCACACTCACTCACTTAACTCTTAAGCTATACTCACTCACTCACTCACTCTCACTCCATCCCTCTCTCTACAACTATAGCTATTCTATACAAGACACTTGAATAACTTCGTGGTTCGCTCTTATAGGAATGTTTCCAATTAATTCTCTGATTCCAGGTTTCCACTATCTCTATGTAAAATTCACAAAGTTTAAAATAAATCTGGCATACTTCAAAATGTCACCAACAAAAAAATGAATTTTCATCTACACAAAAACTATCTGCAATAATCTATCGTTTTCAGTACTGGAAGAAAATACAATAGCTTACCTTGAACACCTTGATCTGGCAGGCACAGACATGAAGCTGTTCTTGTCCACACTCAGTTTTAGAATAGGTCTCCACCTATGAGAAGTAGAAGAGAAGGAAGTATAATGTTGATCAGTATAAGGATTATCAATTTTTTAAAAAGAAAAATCTATCCCTCTTATAACCTAATCTGGGCCAGCTAAAATGCCATAGAGCCCAAGCTCTGGGATGCCCATAAACCTGGCAGAATGTCATGTACGGGAAAATGATTTCATGCCATATATGCACCTATAAAATCCTGGTTTGTGGCCTCACTAAAATTATATGAAGCCTTGGTGCTTTTTTTGCCCTGAATTCCTGGAAAGGCATCCAGTCATCTCTGTGCAAAGTTCAAAATGATAGAAGAGCTATAAACTGCAATTGGACTGAAACACTGATAGCATGACACAAGTACCTTCACTCAGATGACCATTCCCAGCATGGCATGCTATACATCCCACCCTGAGGCAATGAGTTAATCTTGTACTCCTTTACAATGAAATTATTTAAACTTTTATGCAAAAAGGAAGTGCTATAAGAAACCATAACACAATAGCCATGAAACTTTAGCAACAGGTATTGTTTACCTGAATTCTAAATGGAACTCCCTTCTCTCCACCATGCTTCTTGGGAGTAAACTCTGTGCTGATACAGTTGACCTGAAAATACCACAAAGAAATAAATATTAAACACACATTATCCCTCACATAAATTCTTCATTTTTTGATACAACGTCACTAATGTTCAAATCAAAATCTATCAATAAATAATAGTCCTCAGAAAGTTGAATAAAACGTTTTACAATCTGGCCCACTTTCAACTGCTGATACAATGAGATAATGGTTGGCAAGCAGTGTCTAATTCTTATAGCAAGAACTCATTAGTACTGGTAACCTTGATTCTTTGGCCTTTCTATCTATCAATTACCTGCGATTAAACTTGAAATAACTATAAACTATAAGATTTTTCAATAACTACCTTTATATACACTCCCACTTCTTTCGTCGGATCCCAATCAAACTCACACATGTTTAATGATTTGGGATCTTGTGCAACGTCACATATACCATAAGACAATGGAATATCAACCTGAAAATTATATACATATGTAAATATTCAACTATTCAACCACGTTACTCATCTGTAAGCTAAACCATGCAAGACATAAAATATGCCTATACTTCATCAACAAGCTTAGAAAGCAGATACAAATTTCTACATATATACACATATGATCATTCACAATCTATTGCAGTTCAAATACACATCTACCTCCAGTATTCTCTCTCCAGGTCGCATGTGTCTCCAGCTTTCCAGCTGTTCTTTCTCCATGTACTGCAAGTGCCGCTCATGAAAACAGACACGGATTATGGTGTGATAAAACTTTCCTTTACATCTGAAATTGAAAACAAACGCAATTAAGGACCTGAGGCACTTCACATACAGAATATACTGAATACATGTAACTATTCATACATGTGGAATTCATGTCAAACAAATTGCAAGGAGAACAACGAAGGGAAGTGCAGGAAAACACACGCATAAGCTGAAAGCCTCTTTGCATATATCGCTTCATCATGCCCTGATGAATTAGTAAATGTAAAAAGGCCTTCAAGCATATTCCTGTTCTTCCCTTCGTTGTTCCACTTGCTATTCATATATGTACACTCTTCCCACATCAGACACATGTACAATTCCTGCAAAAACAAAATATATGCAGTTTTTTCATCTCAATACACATATAACACACATAGAAGTACTAAAATCAATAGACTTACCTTGTGAGATCACCTAATTTCTTTACTTTGATTTCATAAGACTGGCCTTGATTCAGGTACGATAAGCTTTCTTCATTCACTTTTGTAGCTACTGATGTTGCAGCACCCAAAATATATTGAAATCTGAAAAATAACATGTAATTGATATTTCATATATAACCTCTATATTACATATTTCATCCACTACTTACATAACCACACACACACACACACGCAAAAATACAAAAATAAAATCATTATATATATATATATATATATATATATATATATATATATATATATATATATATATATATATATATATATATATATATAATACAAATCACCAGCAGTGTGTTGTGTACAATAATTACACCATGTTTCACAATATCCAACTATTGTAATTCTCTTTTCTTGTAATCTTATTTTGATAGAAATGTAGATATTACTCCTTTTGGCGTTGTTTCTAAAATATATAAATAAATTACATACTTAGGCAACCTGGTCTTGGTCCACATTACAATCTTTTAGAAAGAATTCCTATAGGATATTGTACGTCATTATTTGTTTTCCGGTCCACATCAACAACAACTAACAGGGGACCCCCAGCATTCCAAAACATCCAAGAACTGTCAGAAAACCTTCTAAGACATCTAGAACAAAACCTGTTCCTTACCTATTATCTTCATATGACATTCCATGATTGGAGAGAGTGACAGATTCCTGGGTAGAATCCGAAGTGTTATTCTGGACGGTTGATTGCTGTGAGTGATGGCAAGTTTGGAGGCATGCGGAGGATGATGCACCGTGGGATGTCACGTGAGAGGTGGTTCCCTGCGTAATGCCGGGGGTTATGTGTTGCTGCAGAAGCTGATGGATGGATGGCGAGGGACAATCTGTCAAATTGTCGGAACTCAAGAGCCTGTGGAAAGGAGATAAGCTTGTACACACACACACACATAAAAAAATGAAAACTGAAAACCTAAATAAAACTGTTTACAGCTTAACCTTCTCAAACCCGTTGTCAAAGTTGGACTTGTAAAACAAAAGGTCACTTCAAGGCTTTTGCTAGTAGAGAGCCAGCCCGACAAGTCAAAAAAAAAAGATACAAAAAGAAATGATTTTACATGGTCTGCCAGGCTTGGTACGGCTGGTAGTCAATGCCAAGTCAGAAGTGGCTATTTGCAGATATATCTTACGTACTAATGAGTCTACTTCCAATTACCATTAAGCTAGGTTAGGTTCATAACCACAATTTTGTATAGTTGGAGAATGAAGCTTTTGTAACCCATCTGGTAAACTAACCCACCAAATGGCAACACCTTAGTAGTAGATGGCAGCTGAGTGGAATTTCCAAGCTGTGGCGTGTACATTTAGTCGGCTGCCTTTATTATTTTGTTAAAATGGAATATTTCTTTTTGTTTCATAGATTAAAAGTCTGAAGTGATAAATAACAGAAAATTTCCATTTTTATTGTACTTAACCTGATACAGTTGCAGTTGGACTATCTGTACCACCTCTGGTAAGGTAATACACTGAATGGCAATACCATACTGAACAGAATATTTCTTAAAGAATGTTTTTTGACTTATGTGATTAGTGGAAGGTTGTACGGCCATGGTGAATCTCTCTCTCTCTCTCTCTCTCTCTCTCTCTCTCTCTCTCTCTCTCTCTCTCTCTCTCTCTCTCTCTCTCTCTCTCTCTCTCTCTATGTATATACATACATACATACATACATATATATATATATATATATATATATATATATATATATATATATATATATATATATATATATATATATATATATATATGTATATATATATATATATATGTATATATATATATATATATGTATATATATATATATATGTATATATATATATATATGTATATATATATATATATGTATATATATATATATGTATATATATATATATGTATATATATATATATATATGTATATATATATATATATATGTATATATATATATATGTACATATATATATATATATGTATATATATATATATATATATATATATATATATATATATATATATATATATATATATGTCTATATATATATATATGTCTATATATGTCTATATATGTCTTGTCTATATATGTCTATATATGTCTGTCTGTCTATCTATCTATCTATCTATCTATCTATCTATCTATCTATCTATCTATCTATCTATCTATCTATCTATCTATCTATCTATCTATATATATATATATGTCTATATATATATATATATATATATATATATATATATATATATATATATGTCTATATATGTCTATATATGTCTATATATGTCTATATATGTCTATATATGTCTATATATATATATATATATATATATATATATATATATATATATATATATATATATATATATATATATATATATATATATATATATATATACACACACACACACATTTATTTATACATATATGTATATAGATAGATAGATAGGTAGATAGACAGCAAGAGAGAGAGAGAGAGAGAGAATGAACATGACTGTACAACCTTCCACTAATCACATAAGTCAAAAAACATTATTTAAGAAATATTCTGTTTAGTACGGTATTGCTTTTCAGCCAGTGCATTACCTTACCAGAGGTGAGTGATACAGATACTCCTCTCTCCAACTGTATCGGGTAAAATACAATAAATAGAAAAATACTGTTGCTTCTGACTATTAGACTTTTAACCTATTAAACACAAACAAATGTTCCATTCTAACAAAGTAATAAAGCCTAGTGAAGATATGTACAGCACCACAGCTTAATAACTCCCCACATCCAATCGATGAAGTGTAAGCAATTATCTTTAAGAGCATAGCTGCGCACACCTCCCCCTTCAAGAACTTAAAAAGACATTTGCTAAGTTATTCACAATGTTTACAATTCCCTTTAAGCTGTCCTGTAATCTAACTTATTATTTCTGCCTAAATTGCTGGTTTCTATGTTAAAATCTGTTTTCATACATATTTTCTGTTGAATAACTAGACTAATTTTCTGATTATTGAAAAGCATGGAAGTTGACCAAGGTTAGATATTGCACATAAAGAAAAAATATAGCAATAGCAAAATGTTCAACTCCTCAACAATATGGGTAGACATCCTACAGTAAATAGAAATTTAATAATAATAACATGTATTTTTCATTTTTTTTTTTTTTTTTATAAAAACATATCTCTTCATCTACTTTTTGCCAACAGTCTTAAATCCTTTCTATCTAGCATAGTTTGAAATGTCAGTATAGAAGAGTTAAATAATTAAATGTTAGACAACAGGGTTTGCCTGCACTCAATTTTTTTCTTTCTTTCTTTTTTTTGACAAATATAGCTAATACAATCATTTCATTTTCTGAAGCAAAAAATAAATAAAAAAATAAATATAACCACAGGTATTATTTCACTACCTCAAAGTACTACAATCAACTCTATATATCATGTCTTAAAACAACACATGCAACATGCTACTCACCTGAACAGTCTATCTGTTGTATTGCTCTGTGAAGATTCATCAAACGTTGCAGGGTTTGATGATGTATTATGCTTATCCTGGCCAGAGGGTGACAGAGCCTCCTGCTTGAAGATAGGCACAGCAGGTAGTGCCAGCAGCGCTTCACTCATGTTGTATGAAGCCTTTTGAAAAAAATAAAATAATAATAATAATAATAATAATAATAATAATAAAATAAATAAATATATATATAAAATAAATATACATTGATAGATAGTGCCAGCAGCACTCCACTCATGCTGTATGAAGCCTTTTGAAAATAATAATAATAAATAAAAAAATTAAAAAAATAATAATTAAAATAAATAAATAGATAAATAATAAATAAATGAGCTTGATCTTGTCTGAGACTATCCATGGCAAGTTAACCCAACTCCAGGTTTCGTCAATTAATCATCTTTCATATGGATGGCTCTACAAGTACTTTAGTGCCTAAGGATTCAATTATTATTACTACCTATCTA